GTGTTTCTTGTTATGATTGCATGTTTTCCTGTGCAGCGGGATTTCCAACACCTCAATATGAACTCACGAAAAAAGAGCGTGATGAAGAGAACAATTGAGCATACATTTTTAGGTCCAAGCGTTTGTTAAGGGTGGGTGAAGGGATAAATAAATGATGGCTTGAAGGGGAGACAGAGAACTTACCCTCAGATATTTGTCAATATTCGGGCAGGGGTCACTGCCAAAAGTATCAGGGATGGCGTCTATGGTGCACATACTTTGAAGGTGGCATGCCTTCACCATTTTAAACAGGGCAGAGGGCGCGAAGCAGTCTTGGGTTAGTGCTACGCTGTCATCCGTCTGGCAGTTGTGGTCACCCTGCCGCCGGCCAAAAGCGGCATGGATGATGTCGGCTTTCAGGTCGCCGCACTGGATCTCCAAGCTGCTGCCCTGGCAGGCGATCAGCTCCACGTCCGGGTGGCAGATGCCAACCGCCACCTCCTCCCGGCACTGGTAGACAACATAAAGGGCCTTAGGGGTGTCTCCGGCAAAGGTGCCAAACACCAGGCTGCTGACGCTGACCGAGCAGCTGGCCTGATTATGGCAGCGGTTGCGGATGATGGTCTTGGCGTAGCGGAAATCTTTCACATCCGCGTTGTCGGCTGTTTGAGCACACTCATCCCGGGGCTGCGTTCCGTACGCCACCTCCAGGATCTCGATGCGCTCACCCTGTGCCGAGCAGTCAAGCTCCAGCAACTCATTCTCGCACACGACCAATTCCACCCGTTCAAGAATTTCTGTTCCCGGGAAAAACCAGTCATCAAGTCAACTGCAGTGTGGAAACCCTGCTTGCAATGGACACAAAGTCATAGAGCACGTTTTCTTTCATTCAAAAATGCAGTAAGATCTGGATCAGATCTTGGGCAAGATAGGAAACACTTCAATGCTTGCACAAAAAGGGATACGAGATATTGCACACCTTCTCCTTGATCCGAGTTAGGGGATTGCTCAATTTAATAATGCAACCCTTTCCACGTGCATGACTATGGCACTGTACATACCTCAGTCTCCCTATATTCAACAGCAGTAACTTGACTGTCTATTAACATTTGATAATGCCCACTGAGATGTGATAATGCCCACTGAGAAGTGATAATGCCCACTGAGAAGTGATAATGAACACTGAGATGTGATAATGCCCACTGAGAAGTGATAATGCCCACTGAGAAGTGATAATGCCCATATCTATTCCCTTATTCACAAGACCATGCAGTCTGATGCCCATTGCCCATGCTATCTGATGCCCATTGCCCATGCTATCTGATGCCCATTGCCCATGCAGTCTGATGCCCATTGCCCATGCAGTCTGATGCCCATTGCCCATGCAGTCTGATGCCCATTGCCCATGCAGTCTGATGCCCATTGCCCATGCAGTCTGATGCCCCTTGCCCATGCAGTCTGATGCCCATTGCCCATGCAGTCTGATGCCCATGCTACCAGGAATAGTCTCTTCTTTGGTTATCTCTAAAGATGAAATTTCGCTATCTAAAATAACCTGCTGGCTGATGACTGATTAGCTTAAGAAGTGGTACTCATCCAGTGACGCTGGTAACAGACAGGGTCTGTTTGGCCTAATCAAGTTACTTCTAATCCCCCCCCCAAAAAAAGCAAAGTGAACCTGCCTTCACAGGAGTTAATGCCATCTCCAGTCCACCCCTCATTGCAATAGCAGCCCCGTACACCATCTTCGACTCTGCACTCCGCGCGTTCATGGCAGCCACTCTCCTCGCACACGACATTGTGTTCGGAGTCACAGGCACACTTCTGGTTGCACTCCTCCGACATGAATTCCGTATTGATCTGCCAAGGCAATTGACAGTGCAAACCTCATGGATCAGTGATTTACAAATACGGCGGGTGCAACGGCTTTGGTAAGATCATTTCACGAGATCAGCCACAAGTAGCCACTGTCAGCAATGACAAAGGAAAGCTTTCATCGCAGTTCATTTGAATGGCTTGTGACTTGAATTTGGCCTTGAAGTCTTGTGGTGTCTTGTGATGATCTTTTAGGTTGTTAGGAGATCTCAATTACAGCACAGATTGGGGCCAATGTTATAACCCAAGCTGACATAAATGTTTAGGCAGTCCGTCTATTCTTCCCTGAGCGTTATCTCCAAAGTCCAACCCTCCTTGGTATCCTCACCTCACGGTACTTTCCTTCGTAGGTGCAGCCGCACTGCGCGTCTTCCACACAACGGTCGCCACCCTCCAGGAACAGGCCAGGCATGCAGACGCACATGGGCTCGGCCTGTCCCGTGCAGTCCTTGGACGCATCCTGGTTGCCGCAGGTGTCTGGGCAGGCCGTGCCGATCTGGCTGAAGACCATGTTTATGGGGCACTTTAGTTCTGCAAGGGAAACAAAAAAGCAGGGGCCCGGGGTTTGACCTTGAATACAAAATGACAGCTGGGTTCCCATGTCCATCTCATATCAAGGCTAGTTCTCATTTCAAGTGAACATAAAAGCCAAGTGAATTCAACATGTGCAGCAAAATTTATTTGCGTTGAAACTTTTGCGAATTCAGGGCATGTAAAAAAATGTATATTTTGATCTGCTGTGGACCGGAGATCCCATTTGCTATACACTTCAAGCTGTCACCTTCAAACCCTTGCTCGATCGTCTCCAACATGGGTGTGAGAGAAGTTCTGGCTACCTGCCACATTTAGTGACTCGGAGGTGGCATGATTTTCAGTAAAGTGTTGGTTTGGGGAAGGCCTCAACTGCTGTAACATTCCTCTTCCCCACAGAAATGCCGTAACTCCCCCTAGGAATTTGCCAAGTTCCTGCATAGGATTAGGCTGCCCTAAAACACGGCAGGCAAAGGCTGTGACCAATGTTTAACCAGTGCATCTTAACCACTTCCTGCCGGGGTGCCCGGTTTCGGACAAAGAGCTTGTCTGTGTTACAAAAGACTGTACTCAGAACAAAAGACCTGCTGCTGGGAATTGCAATCATTTTTTGACTTCCATTTTTCGAAGGTAATAAGGCACTGTTTTGGGCATAGCGCACCTGCAGATAAGCACCGCAGACAAAAGTGCTCCAGGGCCCCATTGATGAGCGTCACAGCGCCGCTGCTCGCTAATCCAACCACGTATGAAAAGACGCTATATTGGCATTCACCGCAACAAAGGAAATTATGGAAATTATGCAACACCTCACAATTCTGGGCTTCTCTTTTACAGGTCTGCAGGCCAGGGCTGAATACTCGGGCGCCAATGAAGGTTGCCTGTCAGATTAGAGTAGCCACCAGGCAGTCGTTTGTGTGGGTGTAAACGTCCAGTAAACGAACACATGAATTTTTGAAGAATTTTGAAAATGGAAAATCTTGAAAAGGTCCCGTCATCTCATCCCGCTCAAGAAAAATCCACCAGGCAGGTAGTGGTTAACACTATACCTGGACTCCAAAGCAGAACACTTCATTAAGTTGTTGAATAAAACATCTCATTACAGCTATCACAGTGATAAATAATGACCGCTTACAATAAATAATAAAAGGTTAAAGGGCGCCAGGGTACATTTTGAGGTAAAATCTGTCACCAACCAAGAGCGATATTTCTGCAAAAATTGGGCAGTTGTATAAATTACAGGCAATGTGAGAAAAAAGAATCCGTTAGAGAATTACTCCACAGGCTGTAACTCCATCTTCCTCCCCCAACAAATTTGTATCTTCCCGTCGTCTATGACTTTGAGCCTTGTTACTCACCGCAGAAGCCTGGCAACCGCCAGTTGCCCGGATTCAAGCCCTTCTCTGTGCAATCGTCGGCGTAGCGCTGGATGTCCTCACACAGGTTGTCCTGGCTGGGATACATGGCGCAGTAGTCGTACAGGCAATTCTCGTAATAATCAAGCGGATCAAGTCCTTCAATGCACATGGCAAACGGTCCTGTGTCCCAACACCCAGAATATGCACACACACACACACAAAAAAGTTTAATGAGGGGGGTCCCTGTGGGGGTATTATTTCTTCGCAATGGCTGACGTTCAACTGCAAAACCTGACGCAAGCTTTGGGAGCCAGGTGGACTGCCCAACTCTGCAGCCCTGGTTTGATTCCTGGTGGATTGGGTTTTCAGTCTTCACAAGGGTTTTACCCAGAATTCTCTTCTGGGATTTCCACCCACAGGGTTCCCACACAAATCTGAAAACCAAATGTCAGGATTTGTCTTCAGACTTTCAAGGACTAACCTCTGTGACATTTAATGCCATTTCGCAGACGGAAGTTGTTTGGCACTATGAATAGGAAAATCACCACAGCAACTGCTACAGACTAAGCAACCAATCACAACCCTTGCATGATCTTGATTTTCATGACTTGTTGGAATCTAACACTTCCAGCACCCTATTTTCCCCTATTTTACGTGACTTTTGATGACCTTTCAAACATTTTTTCCAGGATTTGTCAGGACTGAGAGGACTCTGTCCCACCTCCCAAACTGTATGTCTACTTCTCACTGTCTCTCCTCCACACGTTTCTTCAAGCCTATGAGCTACAGTGCCCAGGACGCTTTGGAGGAATCCCTGGTGTCATTAGCAGAAATGCTCAAAAATAACAATGACCCCTTAAGGTACGACTCCACACCCTGGCAGTGCTTCAAAATATGGCACTTGGATCTGTTAGCAAAATCATCAAGAACGACTCACCCTTGCGGTTGTTCAGGATATTGCAGGCCTCTTGAGCCTCATTCAACCTTCCCGACAGTCGACACTGATCGGTCTCTTGGCAGTCCTCACAGGCCTTGCAAGACGGATCAGCACCCCAGCTCTCCCCAAACTTTCTGAGGTCCTTAGTCTTGGTTGCCAAAGGAAAAAGCAACAGCAACGGCTCTCGGTGAAAATGTGGCAACAGTGCAATCCAAGCAAAACTGATTTGTCTATTGATTTCTGAAATACGGTTGCGGTGAGTAGTTCCCAAGTGGTCTCTGATGCAAACTGACCCTTAAGTGTATGTGACAGATCTCATGGCTTGTCTCAAACTGTGATTTGAAGTGTTTCGCCAATGTGTGTTTATTTTTCTCAGGTTTGTTACATCAGAGACAAGCTGCTATCGCAAGTGGTCCTTACAACACTTACCAGATAATGATGGCCAACCATAAGTCAGACACAAAGTCAAACTTTGGTGTACACAAAGTCCGGCGTAAAAGTCACGGCTGTGATTGGTCCAAATTGAATAGAGCGAGGCTTCGTGGATTGGTTGGTTCAAAGACAGAAGTCGCAGCTTTGAAAAAAAACAAAAAAGACCATGCATGGAAACTACCTGCTCCTTGGTTGAGCGGATGATGAAATCGTCTCCTTGTTTGCCGTTGAAGTTGCCGCACAGGCCCTCCACCTCTTCCTTGTAGTCCTCTGTCAGGAAGATGTCCACTTTGTTTCGTCCATCCCAGCTCACAGTCAGACCAAACTCGGTTCTGAGAACCTTACCAGGGAAAAGACGAAATGCACAGTCAGGTGGGGTTGGCAAATTATCCACCCTGAGAGGAAGTGCACCCCTCACCAATGACAGAAAGACGTGACAGGTGAGAACCGGGTTCTTGCTCGCGCTGGGTGTGCAACCCGGAGACCATACATGTACATTCCAGAACAATTTGAGCACACTCAGCATGCTTCACGTCAAACGCGCATAAACTTGAGTGCCTATGCAATGAGTCTTTACCAAAGACTGTCAATTTCATTCAAAAACATGCCCTCTTTTGTTACTGCTCAGAGCGGATAGACCAGCATATGAAATTTGCCTCGGCAGGAACTAAGGCACGTGTCAAGACATTGCATCTACATAATATCAAAAAAGTATAGAGTTCAATGGGGCACTGTACTACCATTTTTTTCAGTGCTTAATGTGCAATCAGTCATAAAACTCTCAAATGTTCCTTTCCTCTGTTTATAGGCAGGCAGACAGCACAAGTAGGAGGAAAAATTTGACAGACTTACCACACGGTTGTTTCCGCCGTCGACGACGGTGATACCGTCGCTCTCATAGGGGCAGGAGATACGCTCGTTGTTCACAAAGACTTCGCGATTCCTCTTGAAGTCAAAGTTCTGTGGAGGAGACAGTCAGTTGAATGATGGCAGACGTAGCACTGTCACGCAGGCAGAAGTCTAAGTGTAACCTGTTTACTGTGCGCAGAACCAAACATTCGTTTGCATTCAGGCCAGACTGTCTTCAAGTGGAACCGCACGGATAAAAACGCCGCACTGAACCATTCTCCCGAGAGTTTTCATTCGAACAGTTGAAAACAGCATTTTTTAATGTGTGATGTTGCATATCTGTTAATGTACAATTCACAAAACTGGAAGTTTCAGTTAAGGCTGCTGGTTGCCCGAAACTGAATGCGTTTTTTCCATGTTGAGAGAGGAAGTAAGTTGGGCTATTTTCAAACATACAAGTGCTTCCCAATTAGGTACGTACCGCAGTGTACGATGTAAGGTTGAGAAAGTAATGAAGTGAATGGCTTCAGATCTAAATTTGCGGCCAGTTTGTGAATGCCTGAGCTGCTGGAGAGCACCAGAAACTTTACTGCAGAGGTCAAAACTTTATTTTTACCAGATCGCCGATTCTCACGTAGACTTCCCGAGTGGAGGACACCGTCCTACGACGGGGGCTCTGGATGTTGTCGGCAGAGATCTCAAAGTGGTCCAGGGCGCTGGTGGTGAGGGTCCGGGCCAGGATGTATTTGCAGTGGCCCTGGAAGTTGAACTTCTTCCCGTCGAAATTGCAGTAATGGGGATCGCCGTAGGCACAACACTTCCGCGTCCCTGGCAAAAATTATGGCTAAATAGCTCTGCAAGCCCATTTTGGATAGCACTTAAGTATTTGGCTTAGCAACTCTGCTTTTGGCTAAATACACTGTTATATTGAGTACATCGTCTGCTAGGCCGGGCTTCACATAAACGATTCCTCCCCCCCTCCCGATGTGATATAACCATTTAACCAATTAATTGCTTGTGGGTGACCAAACATTAATGCTTACTGATTTCACAGTTCTTGCCGCCCCACTGCATGGGGCAGCTGCAGGTGTAGCCCAGGCTGGCCTGGGACTTGCGACAGAGGGCGCCGTTCTGACAGGGGTTGGGCTTGCACGGATCCGAATCTAAGAAAATTTCGAAAGACAGAACACACACACTGGTGAACGGAGGGCTGACTTGATTTTGCACAATGCGTGACTATTCAATCGATCGGGGTTATTCAAATTATTCCTTCATTTTATTCTGATTGTAAGAGTTTTGTTTCATGTTGCTGACATGATTAACCTTTTCACCACAGCATCAATGTAGTTTGTAGTTGATTGTAATGAGATGATATCTTCAGTTACGCTTTTATTTTGCAAGGCGTATTTAATGATATGTATTTGGGAAATGAGCGATATATAGGTTACTATCATTATCATATTATTACTATGCTACAAGTGAATCTTAATGGTTCACGTCTGCAAAACGCAAACATGGTAGCTTGTGCAGGAGTGAATGGACTTTGTGAAGATCTTTGATCATTTAAGGTGCAGAAGTGAAGCAAAGAAGCCAGGACTGTGCCTTCTTTTTAACTTGAAACTTGTAGTCAAACCCATCAATGTTTAATGAATCGCATCAATGATTTGGTTTCTGTGCGTATCCATGCCACTGGACGCGAGTTGGCAACGTGAAAGTGAAAAGTTTGCAGCAGGAAAGAACAGGAGGGGGCTCAATGTCCGTCGTCAGGAGACTGCGGGGGTGCCAACGGTTATGCAGTGAGGCGTGGACAGGATGCTAACTCCTTTCCATATCTCACTGCCTCCAGACATCAAATAAGCTGCTTCAACATTGAGCGCCCTACAGTTTTTTCAGAGGTATACATGCTCACAAAAGAGGATTTCGCGCAGTGCTACCACAAACTATTAACTTAACTTGCCGACTTTGCAAAGAAAAGCTTCCAATCTCATCCGAAGCAACATTCTTGAACTTGCAGGCAAGCCCCTTGGCATGACCCTAACACAAGTCCAAGATGACTTGAATTGGTAACAGAGTCCACGCAGTCAAACTTGGGAACTGAGGTTCGCTGTTTGGGACAGCGCTCACAATTATCCACTTTCAGACCTTTTACCTGGGCAGCCCAGGAACTCCAATCTCAAGGCGGCTTGGTTGTGGAAGTCCTCAATCCACAGGCGGACTACATTGGCTTCGATCTCTTCCTTGAAGAAGTGAGATTTGACAGTGTTCTGGTCGGTGTTACCTGGAAAGCTCTTGAAGACCACAGAAAAACAGAAAATTATGAAAACATCCTTAATGTACAGAGTTTAGTTCCAAATAGAAACCCGATCACAAAGATGGCTCCACAAAGTGTTAGAGGACAGAAGGGCAAAATGCATTATAACATTTGCAGAAATGCAATTAGGGGGCCATCAAAAGTATTTAAAGACCACGGCTCGGACGTCTGGTGACACTCAGAGAGAGAGAAGACGATGAAGACGTGCTTCAGGTTCAGAGGGAGGAGCTCTGGAATAACAGACTGGGTAAAAACCAACAGAATGGGCCAGGGACTTGTCAGCCTGGATGGAATTAAAAACCTGGATCACAGAGGCGGATGGAGAGAAACGTACGCTCTAACAAGGAACCACGGTGACTTCTTTTCAACTCACAGGACACAAACTTGTGACTTCAACAGGACTTGGGGTTCCCAGGACCCTTGAAAAAAATAAAATTCTGTGACTTGTCCATGTCTTCATAACAAAAGTCCATGGGCTACTTCATCAAAACAAAAATGAAGAAGTCCAAACTTGCGACACTGCTGACTTTGAAGGAGGCTGCTTCTATAAGAGTGTATACATGCACATGTCTTGAGATGCCCCACTATTCAGATACCCCTTAATTGGTAAGAACGTCATATTTTCTGGTAACATTCTCCCTAAAGTGATTGCTTTGTCCTTCGGCCGAGTAGATGGAAGACTTCCCGAGACTGCAAAGGTGACTTTGGATTGATTCTCACCTTGAAAAAAAGTCAAGAGACTTAGCGAAATAAACATGTAGGGGTGCTTGTCTGCAAAGTGCTTTGTAAGAAAATAAGACAGATTAAGCACGTTGGAAAAAATTTGATTATAAAGTGATTTTATCGGCAAAAGTTGACGTGTGTTCGCGTCGAAATCAGACTTTGGTGTAGAGGTATAGTCGGAACGTTTCGACACGCTTCCTGCGAAACTGTCAGAGTGAAATGGTTGTGGACAAACCACAATGCCGACTCACATCTTTGATGGCGTTTTTGAACTTGACCCACTGGAAGTTCTGGGGCTCCTTGGTCAGGAAGTTGAAAGAGTCCGAGTACTCCAGCGCGTAGCTTGTCACCCAGTTCGGGTTGTTGGGATCGCCCTGGGTGGTGACGCCAGTCACCTTGGCCAGGTAGCCAAAGTCAACCTGGATGGCAGGGAGAGAAAAAAAACGAGAAATAGGGAAAAATGGATCAATGAAAAGTTTTCCATTTAGATATAAATTCCAAAATTGGCACTTTTTTTCCAATCTGTTAAAAGCGAGCTTCTTAAAAGTCTGACAACTTTTAAGAAGAAGCCAGAGATGGTATTGCTTGTCTCAATCAGAAACACACACTCTTCCTACTGAAAAAAACTCATGTTCCGAAATGGGAAAAGTCGTCTACTACTCACTACTAGCAAACTTCCTAGCATCGGAACGGGAAACCAGGCTCCCCGGCGGCAAGTGGTTAATACTGCAGTTCATATGAATCACTAGTGACTTAACTTCAGACGGGAGGTCTTTGTGATGGTCTTGAGAGATCTCAACTACAACCATAACACTGCTGATCATCTCGGGGATTGCACCTAGCTAAACTGCCCATGCTTTTGGGGAAAACGGTGATGGTGAATTGGTGAGTCGGTACCTGAATGCAGGGTAAGAGATCCAAGGATTCGGCGATCCATGCTGCATCTCCCATAAGGCGGGCCGCCGCCCCTCCGTTGTTGAGCACATCCGTGGAGCTACTGACGGTGATGGAATCATCAGGGATGGCCCTGTTCTCCATACCGATCCCTCCAGCACAGGAGACTGACGACAGAATGTGATAGCAGAATATCTTTTAAGTCTGGTTTCTATAGTCGTAACGTACACGCAAGACATCGAGACATAGACAGTCGTGGAGATGCTGCGTGACGTCATTTCATCCGAAAACTAAACAAAATGGACCTTTCTCGTGAAATATGCAATTTAGGCAGGGGCACGTGCGCTACAACCACTGGCTCGAAATGCAGCCGTTGACAGTGTCAGCAGTGTAGGGGAACTGCTGCACCTATAACCTTTCGCATCAATCAGCACCGTATTACAGCACTTTCCTGATGCTTCAGCACACTTCTCTCAAAACCAAATGAAGTTTACAGCGTCCTGTGGTTGGATAGTAACAATTCCTTGTCTTTAAGTTTGGTACTCACGTCAAACTATACTAGTACAGAAAATGGCACATATAGGCTCATAGCCATGGGCACACGGAGATTTGTATTATGTCGTAGATTTAAGCAACTTTGCCAACCAGTGGTAGTAATGCGCATACAACTGCCTTGTTTATATATTTCATGGGAAATGTTCATTGCATCTAAATCTCAGATAAATTTGAACAAAAATCAGCCTCACCTTTCTTAAAGGCTACCGTAAAATTACTGAGAACAAATTTCCCAAGTTTTTCAGTCCCTTCGCCCCCCAAAAATGTGGCTCTAGATCCGCCCTTGATCAGGTTAATGACAAGCCTGTGCAACAGGCAGGCTTGATTCAAGCCACAAAACTAAACAGTCATAACTCTATATTGTAAAAAGAAAACTAATCACTGCGGATCTCATCTCGGGAATTTTAGTTTCAGACATGTTGAGTGACATGAAACCTTTTCTGAAGAGAGTTGCACAAAACGCACTTCAACTTTTCTTTGCTTAAAAAAACTGCATTCTTGGGAGATCCAAATTTCAGATCCTTTCAAATGTTTTCAGCGTTATTTGGGAATACATGTAGCTTTGAATATTCATGGAGGTGGCTGCAGTAACTACCACAGTCTCGTTTCAAGCCGCAACCAAGTAATTTGGACATGGTTTATCATACTCACTGGGTGGCACAGTGCCCTTGTCTTCTCCAACACCTGATAAGAACAACCAAAAGCAAGAAGACAAAACCTCAGTGACATCCAAGACAAACCATTTAATAACCATAAACTAGGTCTGTATTTCTAGAAATTCACAATGAAATGCCAATTCACAATGAGAAGCATCATAAACGACAGAAATTTCAATGCATGTAGGGGCTTTAAGTGGAAGCCATCTTGCAGAGCAGTTTTATTGTTCCACAGGGAAGCCCCCTTTGTGCATACCCTGCAGAACAAAAGCACTGGCCAGCAAGATGGCAGCCATGCAAACCTTCAATAGAGTACCAAAGTGTGATGCTGCTGGAACCGGGCGGTGTGGTGTGAATGAACGGAGTATTCGCGCATGTTGGTTCAAGCACTGGTTCTCGCACAAACACTTTTTACGCACATAATTGTGAGCGCACCATTTTCACTTTGGCACTCTGCTGGCTACCAGTTGCATGCGGGGCACAGGATTATACAGTTGGCAGACCTTCCTGGGTCAGGATGGCGGTGAATGAGTACGAGGCCAAGCGCTTCTTGTTATGCTTCATGTGCAGCTTGTCGCCGACGTCCAGCCGGTTGCAGCCCCGGATGTGCTTGTTGCGGGTGACCAGGTGCACGGCCCTGTCGTGTGCCCTCTTGTGACGGAAGATGGGGCTGCGTCCCCTGGAGGTGAAGCCAATCATGTGGCCCGAGCGCACCTCAATCCAGTCCTTTCTGTCCAGCAGAACCTGACAGGCCGCAAATGAGAAATGCACTGTAACAAGACTTTTTTCTTTTGCAGATCTGTAGATGTAGCACTGCCAGGATGGGGAATGTAAGGGACGGGGGGGAAAAACGTTTCTTTTCTTGGGTACTGCAGTGGCATACTGATGAGCACTGGGCTCCCCCCCCCCAACAAGTTGCCGATTTTTTTTTCTTTTAGGGATTCAAAGCACCAGCATTTCAAAAACAGTGCTACCGACTTTTTCACAGATGAATAAAGAATTTGATTTTCATTCTGGAACAAAAATTCTATTTTGTCTTTCCCCGGGGGACCGGTTGGTGGTCTTTGGTGGTGTCTTGTTAACGTTGCCAGCATCTTGAGTTTGGGTGCCCATTGGCCACGGCAAAGACATCAACAAATCAGGGGGACTTTTGATCCAATTCTGATCCAGTCATTCTTAAAATCCTAAAATTCTTCATCCCCAAACCAATTAACCAATTACAATGAACTTGGCTTATTTCCTACAAAGTCTTGTCACAGTCCAAGTGATACAGTAGGACAAAGCGGAATAAGGCATCGATGAAGAGCTGTCTTCACAGACACACCTCGTACACTTCTCCCCTGTTCAGCTTCTTGCGACGCGGCACAAAGGTCTTGCCGACCACGCCAAATTTGCCCTTCTCCGTGTCGATGGGCTTCAGAACATAGAAGGTGACGGGCGCCTTGTTCTTGGGGACCATCCTCCATCCTTTGATGTAGCTGCAGAGAACGGCCCAGGAAGAAAACTGTGACAGGAGTATCTCACATTTACATCCAAGAGGCACAGGGGTCACGAGGGGAAGTGTTGCATGGGGGGTAACAAGGGAATGAAATGAAAAAAAAATGAAAAGGGGACAAAATCCCTGATCTGCTTTAAACAAACCCCAAACGTTCACTCCTTCCACAGTTGATTTTTCATCGACTCTTAGCTTATGAGTGCTTCCCCTCCCCCCCTTGAATTTTTCCGCCCTGGAAAATGTTGTTTGCCCCCCAACAAAAAAAATCCTGCGGGCACAACCCACCTGTTGCAATTTAGGGGGTGCTGGGTGTTGACGACAAAGGTCCTGTCACACTGGGAGTGCTCCCACTTCCTGACCAGTGGGTTGACGCCCCACTCCGCTTTGCACGAGGCTGCAACGACAAGTGTACGAGGGAGTATACTCAATGACTGGCTCACCCACTGACTGCTTATCACTCATGTTCAAGCTTGCCCACTGACAGCAGAAAGGACCAAAAAAATCGGGAGGAAAGCCAGACCAGCGTACTTACTCAGACAGCCCAACACATCAAAGCGAAGACCAATGTTGTTGTTCCACTCTTCAATGAATATCCGTATGAACTGCACCTTGAACTCGCGCTTGAAAAAGACTTGGACAACCGTGTCGGAATCAGTGTTGCCATAGAAGACCTAAACATCCGGGCAAGGGCAAAAAAGTCAAGGATCACACGTTTAAGTTTTACACTACGAGAATGGTACCAAGCTTGGTTTTGCCCTACGCTCCTAGTTTCAGCTGGAAAACGGCAGTCCCACGCCATTTCTAACCTGAGGTTAACCATGCAATCAGCGCAGTCCCTGCAATCAGCGCAGAGTGACGTGAAAGGGACTAACGATGCAAGTGTGCGGCAAAATCATGGAAAGTTAAGCATGTGCTGAGCGGTTCTTAGAATTTTAAGTTGACAATATTTGTACCGACAACAGGAATAAAATCTGGTTTGTATAAGTGAGTTGGTCAAACTTTACACTTAATATTATATATAATGATATTGCTGTTACCACTGGAACACTCCTTCCAGGAATGGCGTCAGGATTATCACAGAAATCTGAAAACCAAATTCCACAACTTTCCAGGACTAAATTTATGGGGAATTTACCATTATTCCGGTGGAACATCAAAAGCGGCCCATCAAAACTTATCCTTGCATGTTCTTGATGTCCGTGACTTTTCTGTGACTTTTCTCCCCCGACAAAGGTTTCTAGGACATCCCACTTCCTCACAATTTTCCATGACTTTCCAGGACAACTTTTTTCGTCCAGGATTTGCCAGGAGTTTCCAGGACCTTGGGAACCCTGTCCATGATTTCCTAGTTCAAACTTGCTGTCTTCCCACAAGAAGTGAGGCATTGCCGAGTTTGCATACAAATAGATCACTATTCTTGTCTGGACACATTCGACCATGATTACTTCAGGCACTGAGATGCTCTCTCCGACAGCAATTTGTAATTAATGGGAAGGGTGGGAAGAGGGCGGATGTGACGATGATCGATCTCACCCTGCCGTCTTGCATATTCTGGGCTTCCTTCCAGTTCTGCTCATCCAGACTCAGCTCCACCCGGAACTTGGTCACCCATCTCTCCTCTCCGGAGCAGCCTTGCACGCTCACCCCTGTCACCACAGTGGGCTTACCCAAGTCAACCTGCCCATGGGGGGGAGGGTCAAGGAGCGGAGGTCAGAGAATTAAAACGAATGTTCCAAAACAGGAATCAATATACTGTATTCATTTGTTGGCCATCTTCAATTGAAAGTGAGATAAAACTTTTAATTTTGGGAACATGAGGGTTAAAATAACGGCGGCGAAATAAAAGTTCAGTACAAATTCATGCCAGTGTTTGTTTAGAATAATTAAAGTTCGTGATAAATTATATCTAAACACATTACGTGAATCATCCATTTGGAGCAGACCCAAGTTTGCCATTGACAAACTCGGGTTGGTATTCACTGGTTTTGGATAGAGCAGTTTGCATTCCGATGTTTCTTATCTGATCAAAAGTTAACAAAGTGTGAACAGGTGGTTGGTGATGGCACTACCAGTGAGTTTGCTGACAAAAAAAATCTTCAAAAGTCTCTGTGTAGCATTGGGAAAAGTGTCAAAATTGGGTAACAACTTTGAATCATTACAATCAACCAAATATATCCTGACAAATTAAATAAAAAACAGTTCAGCTTTGCCTATGCTCTTTAACAGTTATTTTACACCTTCAGCAGGTTGCAGCCAGTGTGCCGTGATTGACGGGGCAATGGTCACACTGCCCTTGGGGGAAGTGGGTGCCAGGGTGATTGTTTATCTTATAATTACTAACTGCCGATCCAGTCTGGATGAAACTGGTGAGTAGCATTCAGAGGTTTTGGCTAATGGAAGTTTCACGTAATGTTTTAAGCTAAAATTAAATTGAAAAAAATGAATTTGAAGTACAGGCCATCTCTGCAAAGTTCCTCTTCAATGCTAGACCTTTTCTAGTTATTTCTAAGACTGTTCTAATATCGCCACTACGATCCTGATATTTACAATAATTAACTGAAAATGTACTTGATTCCATTTACTACCTTCAGACTGAACATCTCACTCAAAACGAAGAAACTGCCAGTTGATCCTGCAGAAGGCCGGGACAAACAAAGTGGTACCCTTGCTCACCTGCACATACTGGTCTTTGTTATTCTGAGCAGGTGCCCAGCAGCCCTTCATTGTGGCCGTCGGCTCGGCGTTGAGTCGGGATTGGCTGTTACCGTAATCCGGTCCTAGGACGGAGGACGTCTGGATGCTCTGGTCGGGAATGAGGTCGTCGTCCATGCCCAGCCCGTACCGGCAAGCAACTGGAAGGTTGCACGAGAGACGCATGCAAGAAGACCATTAAGGATAAACGAGACAGGCACTGTGACAGCAATGCTACCAAAACTGACCAGTGGAAGTTGATTAAATTCAGAGGCAACCATGCCAGTGGACACTCTGTTCCATGAAAGCGAAGAGAGAAACCCTTTAAAACATAAAAATTGAAACAGCGGGGGAAAACTTACTTGCTGGCACACTCTCCACACTCGAAACTGCAATAAATAAGAATGAGAAGTAAAATTTGATTTTTCTGAGTTCAAGTACTACAGCTCCTGGGTCACATCTGTGTTCACTTTTGCCAATACGAAGGACAGTTCTCAAGAAATATAATAACAAATAACAATACTGAAACATTTCAAGCCGACTTCATTGCTCTGCCAACCGTTGGATTATGTGTGAACTGTGGGCTTTGAGCTGGACCGAGGGAGGGCACTATTGTATTAGCAACAGAGGCTGCTTTGGTTGGAACTGAACTTTGCCGGTTCACAAACAACTGTGAAATGCACGCATTACGGTCGCCTTGCTACCAACCACTCCTGACCGACAGACGTGTTTTCAAACCGATGACAGGGTTACTTCTGCTCAAAGCAAATTGAGCCCTTAAAATGGCTTGGTATGGTTAAGTGTGTTGTTTTTTTTTTGGAGTGTTTTTTTTTCCAATAGCACAATCACAAGTAATTGAGGTATCAAATTCTGGTAGGCTACGAGGAGGCTTTGCTGAATTCTAGGGTCTACTTTGAGCAGATCCCTCAAAACAATTCTTCAGGCCATTTTTCTGGGGGGGGGGCAATAATTTTGTTTTGGTTTACATTTGAGAGCACAAACTCACTTCATTGGTTTGATCTACCACTTCGTTTGGCATCCTGAGGAAATGGCTGAACTGTGCTGAGCTCTCCAACTAATTTTCATTGTGCAGGTTTCTTTGGAAGGCCTGCAGTTACTCAAATGTGGCTCTGCCAAGCATCCAACTGATGTCACCCGGCTGGGTAAAGTCTTGATGAGAAAAACCAGACTTACTTGACACAGAGGCACCGATGGAGTACGCCTGCTTGCCACTGGAGACAAATTTCCTGTACTGGCCGACTGGGGTGGGTTCCAGGTTGCCTCCGTTGCCGGAGTACAGCAGCTCTACGCTCTCCTCTCCTTCGTCATAGCAGATGACGGGTTCGCTGAATGACCAGCCCATGACATCGCCTTTCCTGAAGTGAGCAGATGTGAGACCGACACTGACTGACATGGGTTGAGAGCCCTTAAAAGACCATCACAAGACCATCATAACAACCATCACAAGACCACCATAAGACTGTCACAAGACCCTACAAGACCATCATAACAAGCATCACAAGACCACCATAAGACCATCACAAGACCCTACAAGACCATCATAACAACCATCACAAGACCACCATAAGACCATCACAAGACCCAACAAGACCATCATAACAACCATCACAAGACCACCATAAGACCGTCACAAGACCATCACAAAACCACCATATGACCGTCACAAGAGACCATCACAAGAAACCATAACAAGATCACTACAAGACCATCATACGACCACTACAACATCATCACAAGACCTCCGGTCTGAAATCAAGTCACAAGATATTTGAGTGATCTAGACCTAAAGCAGGTC